CATTTCGCCAGGTTTCGGAACTTTCGCCAATTTCGGACATTTCGCCAGGTTTCGCTAGTTTCGGAAGAATCGGATTTGGGGTCTTTGGCGAAACCTAATTTCGCCAGGTTTCGGAGGTTTCGCCCGGGCGAAAGTTTCGGTTTCGCCTACAACACTAGTCCTGATTACGGAAAATGTGCAAATTTTAATGAAAATAACACTCAACCTGCATGGTGTCTGACATGTGATTTCGACATCACAGCACAAGGATCGACAAGTAGAAACAAAAAATATTGATTATTGTATTAGAGAATCTCTACTTAGAGCCAAGAAATACGAAGATACAATTGAATGGATTCCATTTGATAGATTATCCGATGTTAACGAAATCGGCAAAGGTAGATTTGGCTTCATATATTCTATAACTTAGTTGGATGACATACAAAAATCGATAAAAATAAAAGAGCACGTGAACCAACTAGCATCGTTGCGCTCAAGACCTTGGCCGATATAAGGAAAATAATTTTGATTCCTTGAAAGAATTAAAAAGTCATATAACATATAAGATAAATAATAGCAAACTTGCAATTTATGGAATCACTAGAAATATAAAAACAAACAATATTTGATGGTGTTTAAGAAGTAATTTACTTGGCAGGCTAAATTGCAATTACTTCGAGATATTTCAGAAGAATTATATAATATTCATGATTATGCAAACTATGTTCATGCTGATTTTCATAGTCAATAATGAAAATGCACGGTCGTATATCACAGATCTAGGATTGTCCAGAAAGAAAGATGATGATGTTTCAGAAAACGATATTTATGGTGTTATGCCCTACGTCGCTCCGGAATTTTGTAAAGAAAAGGATTTACACAAGCAGCCGACATATTGGCTTCGGCGTTATAATGGCAGAAATCTCAACTAGAAAAAGGCTTTTTGATGGATGCGATTTCGATACTAAAATTGCGGTAAAAATTTGCAGCAAAGGAGAACGACCAGAGTTTGCTCCCGGAACTCCTGATTGCTATGTTGAATTGGCTAAGCGATGTATGCATTCTGATCCATAGAAACGGCCTGAAACTTGAAATGATAAAAATAATGTTTTTGATACAATTAACGGTTAGCAAGTTCGAATGAAAATGAAATTAAAAAGCAATTCTTAGATGCTAATAAATTCATTAAAACATTATCAATTACCTCACCAAGCCATCCGGATCCATATATGCCAGCAAAATTATTAGTACAAGAGTAATATTATGTTAGAATCAAAAGGAATTACATTACTGAAAAGAACTTACACTGTAACTTAAGAGTTATGTCGTTCTTGTTACCAATTGTGGGTGGCTAGGTTAGCATGAGTATTAAGATGCCACGGACTGATGAAAAAAAAGCCCTCATCGATAAGTCCTCGATAGTGCGGGTATTTGGGTGTATTCGAGTCTCTATCGCTAAAAAGAGAAAAGAGGTTGGCATTAAAACCTTTGCCGAAAACCCACAACACATGCGGTCGTGAAAGGCACTGCCAGGTTGAGTGTTGATATACAAAAAAAATAAAAAATAAAAGAGAGAGAAAAGAGGTTGGCATAAAAACCTTAGCCGAAAACCTACAACACATGCGGTCGTGAAAGGCACTGCCGGGTTGAGTGTTGATACACAAAAAAAAAAAAAAAAAACTGGTAACAAAAATAAAAAGAGAAAACAACTAAGGGCTATTAGTTAGTATATTGTAAATTCGCATGGTTAATACCCCGAATATAAATAATATGAGAGATAAGACTAGAGGTTGGAACCGGTTTTAATAATTCGGGTTTATCACATGAATTTTGTGATATTTTAGAATTTATTAAAATTTAATTGGATAAATTTCTAAAATATCACAAAATTCACGTGATAAACCCGAATTATTAAAACCGGTTCCAACCTCTAGATAAGACTTGTTAATAGTAAAACAATACTGTACTCCAGAGTAGTTCTTTGATAAAGGCAAGGTGATAAATACTGTTCGCTCACTTATTGAATGTACTAAAAGGGTATTGAATACTGTACGATGGTCCTTTTATAGAATTAGAAAAGTAAATAACAGGGTTATATTATTAAGTGAACTAGAAGAAGTACTCAATCGTGACTTTGGCTAGCATTTTTATGCATGATACGCATAGGATGTTCTATAGAATAGGTGGGCAATATAAGAAATAAGCTTCGCTAATGATTAGTAATAATTAATTTTTAATATATTCAGCGGAGTTTAGCGGAGTTTGCCCATCTATTTTATAGAACATCTTACGCATAAAATAGGTGTGGGCGAATGTCACGGGCAAAAGTGACATTTCCAAAAATGTGATGAAACTGAGTCTCCAGAAACAGGATTAGATCATCACAGGCTTAGAAGGCTTAAGGGATCGTTGATGGATGCAGATCCAAGAATTTCTGAGAAGCAACGATCAATTGCCAAAGCCTCTACGATAGCTAAGGACGCTACAACTAGTGATGTGCCATTTATATGATACCCAAATTTTTTTCGCGTACAGTGCGTACAGTTGTTTCTAGCGATCTGATTGGTTGGGAGAATTCACCTGAAGTGATCGGCAAGAATTTTCGCGTACAGTACGTGCGTACAGTACGTATAGTACTGTACGCGGCACATCACTAGCTACAACACTAGAGGTTAAAAACGGCTCTTATGTGCGAGGTAGGGGCACATAAGGTTGACCATAATTATTGAATTCCACTTCTCCAAATCACCAACGTCACGCCTCTGGCGAGGAGCTTAAAGAAACTACGAATTACCTGTAACATTCGGTGTGATTACAATTTACCCCGCAACAGTATCGAGGCCAAATTTTTTAAAATTGTCATCAACGTGAGGCCAAAATAACTTTAAAATTCTTATTATACCGGGGCCAATTTTTTTTAAAATTGTCATACGTGAAGCCAAAGGAACTTTAAAATTCTTATTATATCGAGGCAAAATTTTTAAAATTGTATTGAATGTACCAAAGGATTTAATTATTAGGCATTATTTAAATTCATATTAAATGCAAATTATGTACAGTACCAGCAATAATACATTCTAATTCGATTATTTATTAAAAGAAATATTTATATCGATGTTGCAAATTTTGCAATTCTCAACAATAATTTTAGGTGCACCTTCAGGCACATCTTCGGCAAAATCAGAATTAGATGTTTCTTGAATACTCCCTTAAATACTCTCTTTAATGTTCTCTTGACTAATATTCTTTTTAATATTTTTGAGTGGACTAATAAAAGGTTTTGAGGCATCATACAGTTTAAAGAGTTTTGATTTGAAAGTTTTAGTCGTGAAACATGGTATGAAGCGACTCCTCCAATTGAACGGTGACCATTATACGATCAGTTGCTACATTGAGTTGAGTAAATATTTGTATTGCGCTTCTTCTCATTGAATAGTTGGTTATTTTTTTATAATTCATATTAACAACTCCCAAATTTCTCGAATCATTTTTTCGTGCGTATGTCGTCCAAGTGGTGCATCATAAAACCAATCAAAATCTATAAAATAAAAAATTTAATTAAAAAAAAAAATCCTATTACAATTAAAATACCATTAGCAGAAGCGATTTTAAGAAAAAATTCTTCTGATTTAAAGTAATTTCCACGACGAAATATATAATATAAAATATCTGAAACAGGAACATCCATATCAGGTGGTATTTGGCATACTCGATCTGAATTATTGAGATTTTTTAATCCACCTGCATGATTTTTTTCACGGTGAATATTAATTTTCAAATTCTTATCGGTGCCCATTTTAACATGATCAATCTTAAGCTGCTTTGCATCTCTACCTCGTAATCCACCTAGAAGGCACAACTAGAGATGGGTTTCATGCGCATTAATGCGCATTTTATTCCATCAAGATCTCTCTTCTCCCAATCGTTTTTTCTCTTTTTTTTTATCATGCATGAAACATTTCGTGCGCATTAATGCGCATTCATGCGCATGTTATTATAATATGCGCATTTTTCCCATCACTAGGCACAACCAAAAGTATACTTAATACGTAATAGAAGTTGGTGTATCTTCTAAAAGATGCTTATTATTCAATGCTTGAGTTATCTCATCATAAGTAAGTGAATCGCTTGTCGGGGATTTGTATCCTGAACTAACTTGATTTTTCCATCAATTGTTGAATACAAGTATAATTCGGTTTAGGATTTTGACAAGAATTCATTTGTAAATATCGTGCAATTCCACAATAACAGTTGTGAATCGACATAGGTGCATAAAAATGATTACAGTCAAACCTCTCTATAATCACATCCTTGGTTTTAAGAATTTAGTGCTTATAGAGAGTTGTGCTTATATAGAGGTCAAATTTTATAAGTGTTACATTTATATAAGTTGGTTTTAAAAATTTATGTGATTATAAGAAAATGTGACTATAAAGGAGGTTACTATATAGAAGTCTGACTGTAACATTTTTCTTAATGCTACAAAAAAATAAGAATAGTTTCCAATTCAGAACGACCTTTGATTTGTGTAACATCGCCCGTAAGATTTGTACTGATTTATCGTATTGATCCAAGTTTGGGTATTATGGCTTGTATTTTTTACAATTGCATAATTAATCGTATGATCAATATCACTTTGTGAAGGTACAACAAATCGTATCTAAAAAAGTAAATATTTGTAACTAATAAATAAAAGAAAAAATGTAGTTTATACTAGGGGTTATTAATAATCTCTCTCTGTTTTATAGTTGTTTAACAAAATTTAGGGTTGGGGTGCAGTTTAATACCGAAATAGGGTTAGATATAATGGTCCAATTTTTAGGTTACACAAGGTTTTAAGGGTTCTGAACATTTTTACTTAACCTACCTAACTTCTATTTCTTAATCAATTTACCGAGATATAGCATCCTGGATATTAATAACCTCAGTATAAATTATAAATGTTCTAAATAAAGTACTATAATAATAAATAAATTAATAAAACCTCATCTGTCATCACTATTATATAGATAATACTTTATAGTGTTATAGGATAGATTTTTAGTTATATTATTATTATTTTATTATTATATTTTTAGTTATATTATTAGTTACATTTATTAGTATTTAGTTATTTCTTATATTGTATTATTTTAGTATAGATATTTTA